GCAGAACTAAACAGAGAATTCTCAACAGAGGAATCCAAAATGTCTGAAAGACACTTAAGAAAGTGCTCAACATCCTTAGCCATCAGGGAAATGCAACTCAAAACCACTCTGAGATACCAGCTTACTCCTGTCAGAATGAATAAAATCAATAACACTAATGACAATCTATGCTGGAGAGGATGTGGAGAAAGAGAAACTCTCTTCCATTTCTGGTGGGAGTGCAAACTTATACAACCACTTTGGAAATCAGTATAGCAGTTTCTCAGGAAAATGGGAATCAGTCTACCACAACATCCATAAATTCCACTCTTAGGCATATACCCAAAAGAAGCACATTCATACAACAAGGACATCTGTTTAACTATGTTTATAGAAGCATTATTTGTAATAACCAGAACTTGGAAGCAACCTAGATGCCCCTCAACTGAAGAATGGATAGAGAAAATGTAGTATATTTACACAATGGAGTACTACTCAGCAGAAAAAAAGCAATGGAATCTTGAAATTTGCAGGCAAATGGATGGAACTAAAAGATACCATCCTGAGTGAGATAACCCAATCACAAAAAAAAGAGATAAACATGGTATGTACTCACTCATTTTTGATTTTTAGACATAGAGCAAAGAATCACTAGTCTACAATCCACACTGCCCGAGCAGCTAGGAAACAAGGAGAACCCAAAGAAAAGATTGCATAGTCCCTCGAAGAAGGGGATGGGGACAAGAACCCCTGACCAAAGTGGGAGCCCGGGGGCAAGGAGAGGAAGGAGAGCCTTCATTCTGTTGCTGTTTGAAACAGAAACAGACACCCACAGTTAAGCACTGACCCATACTACTGGAATTCAGTTGTGGAGAGGGAGGAGGAATGAGCAAAGGAGCCAAGACGGGGCTGGAGAGATCTGCAGAAACAGTGAACCTGGCCTACTGATATCATGGAGACCCTTAATCAAAAATCTGGGGAAACAGCATTGGACCAAACTAAGCCCTCTGAATGTGGGTGCCAACTAGGAGACCAAGACAGTCTATAGGACCTCTAACACTGTAGCCAGTCTTTATCTCTAGAGCACAAATGGACTTTGGGAGCCCATTCCTTATGGAGGGATACTATTGCAGTCCAGATACAGCAAGGAGGGCCTAGGCCTTCCCCCAAACAATATGACAGACTTTCAATGTCCCTGGTGGGAGGCCTCACTAACCCTGGAGAGGAGTTGGGAGGTCGGTTGTGGGTGGGGGGGGGAGGTTGGGGTAGGGAACATGGGAGGATGGGAGGACGAGGGAATGGGGGGATGGATATGTAAATATGAGTAGTAATTAAAGAATTTAAATAAAAATATTTTTAAAAGAATAAGAAAAACTACTGGCTAAACAAACTGTGTCATTACTTATTATTGGTGTATTAGGCCTAATCCCTTTTTGGCCAATGTATAAGGATTCTTTGATGGTAACTTTCTCTCTACCCACACTCCTCTCTCTACCTGCAAGCCAGTGAGATTTACAAAGAAGTTTCTATTCCAAGAACAGAGTTCTGTGGAAAATAAAACTAAGTATCCAAATACACGCTCTCCTCAATAGCCAAACTCAGTTGCAGATGAAGCATCTTCAAAAACCCCAAAATCACACATGCAGCTATTGCCAAGACACTTGGGTGTATTCATCTCCTGCCATTCACATTTGACTCCTTTCTAGCCCATTCTGTCTTCTGCTCATTCAACAAACCTGCAAACTTTGCTTTGACTCAGCCTCAAGTTCTTTTCTAGGGTAAACAGCAAGCACCTGGATGCACCTGAGTACAGGCCCCAAGACTTCATGGGGACTCCTGGGGCCACACTGCCAGCAAAGTTGACTTGTGCCTCTTGTTAGTATTTCAGCCTGCAAGTCTTAGGAGACATACAGTAAGCAATGCTTCACAAAAGCAACCCAATTCTTTTTGGAGGTGCTTGAGTGCAGAGGGAGAGGCAATGTGAAACCTGGAGAATGGAGTTGCTTTGACTGGTATGGAACTATCTAGATGGAATCTCTCCTCATCCTGGTAGCCAGCTGTTCCTGGCTTGTTTTACTTACAAAATGCACCACTTTCTCATTATCTGACCTTAGGTAACTCACTTACGACTCAATTTTCAGCTTCCTACCTATAAACCAAAGTTTACAGCAGCAACCTAATAGGTTGTTGTCAAGATGACAATGAGGGAAGCCAGATACAATGCAGAGCATGGAGCAAATGCTCAATTTTAGCAATTTTCAACTCATATCTTTCCCAGAATGCAGCAACTTGTGACTTACCCCTTGTAAGACTTGAAAGCTGTCATTGTTAGGTGGCGGGTCTTGATCTGGGTCAACACCAACTCTAAAAGTCACCGGGAAAGAAGACAAGGAAAAAAAAAAACAGAAAGCATTAGCTTGGTCCATGGCAGCCTTGCTGTCTGAGTCAGTACCTATCTTCCCAAAGCAGGAGTGGTTAGCTTCAAGGAGAGAAAGACTATCATGCAGAAGTCAGGTCCACACCACAGCAGCTCCAAAAGAGTCAGATGTTGTAAGTACTCCTGCCCTTAGCAAAGCATCTGGGAAATATACTGGCAGCTTTCCATCTGCCGTCCTGTACCGAGCGGTTCCCACTACTAAACCATGGGTCTCTTCTGCTTGGCTGCTTCCTCACTTCTGCCCTGACCTGCTTTGACACCCACGATATTTTGTTATGAAATCAGTCAGCTATACAAAGAAGCATGGGGGGGGGGATCTGTAGTAAGCTCCTGCATAGCCACCAAGTGCCTACCATTAACATTTATTACAGCCTCTTTATTACCATCATCCCATCTTTCCATCTCTCTTATTTGTGATTCCAATGAGGCAGTGACATGAATACATTTCTTCTAACTTGTTGTGTGTGTGTGCTTGTTCATGTGCAAACCTGTATGTGTGTGTAGGCCAGATGTCAAATTTAGGTCATTCTTCAGAACCCATCCGCCTTGTGTTTTGATATTGGAACTCTCATTGGCCTAGAAATCAGCACATATGTTATTCTGGCAGCTCAGCAAGCCCAAGAGACCTTCCTATATCCCCAGTGCTGGGATTATAAACATGCACCATCATATCGAGCTTTTGTCATACATTCTGGAGATCAAACTCAGGTCCTCGTACTTGCACAGCAAACACTTCACTGAAAGCCAGCTCCCAAGCCTCCCATCCTCTGGCTTCTTTAGTATAAATGATGATAGAATCCCTCCTTTTCCCCATCTTGAGTCAGGCTTTTTTGAACCATCTTCCCAAGTAGGACCTAACTTTTGGGCTTCTTCCCTTTGCATCACCAAGTTTTACCACTAATCTTATTAAGCTGGTTTAGCCAGAACTCCCACCTTTGATATCTGATCCCACCCCCTAATATCTGGTGCCCCTGCCATCTCTCAAGTGATATCTGATCTCTATGGCCCCTTACTTCAGATACTTACTTTTGGCAAATTTCATCCATCAATCCCTATTGCTCCCTCACACTGCAAAATCATATCACAGTAGACTCTATGTCAGTCATAGTGATCCTCACTAACGTCTGCCTTGCCTTGTTAATAGTATCACAATGCTTTCTTGACCAGCATCATTAACCGGAGTCCCAGTATGATTTTAGTTCCTGTGTCCCCACATTGTCTTTATCAAAGATGAGCAGAGAACTCACACATTTGAGAGAACATGCACATTTGAGAAAAATAAAAAAAGATCAAGTGGCCAAAACCCACTTCAAATAAATTCCCAAGAAGCACTGTGACAGCTGTCTTAGCTTTGTCATATGCTACCTATTGCTACATGTATCTGCTAATTGTTTATATCCATATCTTCTTCATTCTGAGACAGGTAACATGGAGCAATGGGAGAGGAAATAGATGCCAAGAAAATCCTGTACTCCTTTCACTCTCCCAATATCTCAATATATGGACAGCATCATAAAAATGTAATGAAGCATCAAACTTTCAGCAGATTAGGCCATTATAAGCATGAAGAGGGATGCTTTGCTGTCCAGTACAAGAATGTCCTAGTCCAGCAAGCAGACACTGGACTGGACATACAAAGCCCTAAGTATATACTTATTTTTCTTCTTCTTCTTCCTCCCCATCACCTGTAACACCTGGCATCTTTCTAGAAAAAAGAGACTACATGTAAGTAAGGGGTAAATGATACCACAGATATACCCAGCCTCTCAAAGCCAACCTCTATTCTGTCCTGTCTCAAGCTTGTTGACCATTGGCCAATGTATGTGCCCCTGGGAAGGGAGCAGAATAAAAGGAAGCAGCTACCTCATTTTGTGTTGGAGGCAACGTTTTTTAGCCACAAGATGAATTCATATACACAATACATGTTTGCATCCAGGGCCAGGCAATGTTCTGGACACTTGATAAAATCCTATACTAGACCTGACACCAGATTCTTCACTGTGAACCTGGGACCACATGGGCTGTTTGCACTGAATTAGAGAGACTTTGCTCTATGCTAGAGGCTATTTCCAGGCAAAGAATTCTGGTATCTGGGATCTTGCAACTAGACCTTATCTAGTAATGTTTGAACACCAAATCTCAGAGACCTATATTTTGACATGAAAACCATCTATTTCAGTGACCCAAAAACTGCCCCCCAAAGTCACGTAAGGTCCTTAGGACACACAGATAATCTGGTGTATGAAAGTGGCTAGAGGCAAGATTGCATTCGGAACTCAACTTCATCTGTTTTTAGAGCCTCTTAATATCAATTCCATATGAGACATCCTCTAGATGGTGTTCTATAAGGTATCTATGGTAGCATTTATAAGGCCAATGGACAAGAATATACTATCAGACCTTATGAAGCTAGACAAATCTACTCAAAGTAAGCTGCTGTTGGATGCAGACTCAGAGGTGCAGTACCTCTCAGAAGAGCAGGTGACATGTTGTCCTCAGCCAAACCACAGACAGGCTGCTAAAGAACATGGGGTAACTGAGAATATGTCACTTCAGATCTGCCACTAAGAATCCCTCCTCTCTTGCACTGAGGACTGTGAAAGAAGTCTGCTTCTTAAAAGGCTTCTGCATCAGTACTGGTGAAGCAAATGTGCTGTATATCAACCCAGTTGAACAAGGAGGCACAGGCAGAACACTGTACCATCACAAGGAAAATCAAATCAAATGTAATCTAAGCTGCCAGAAGAAGTTTAGCTACAGTCCTTAAATGTTTACTACAAAAAGAAAATATGTTTTAACAAAATCATTTTAGTTTGTGGGCATAGGGTAGCCTACATAGCCTTGGCTGTCCTGGAATTTACTATGTATACCATACCCTGAACTTGTGGCAATCATCCTGCCTCTGACTCCTGAGTTCTAGCAAAGCTTTACATTTGCTGGGCATTGGTGGCACACGCCTTTAATTCCAGCACTCCGGAGGCAGAGGCAGGCGGATCTCTGTGAGTTCCAGGCCATCCTGGTCTACAGAGCAAGTGCCAGAACAGCCTCCAAAGGTACACAGAGAAACCTTGTTTTGAAAAACCAAACAAAAAAACCTTTAAATTGATTCTACTTTAAAAGAACTACTTATAATGGCTAAGACTGATCCATTTCACTCAGAGCACATAAATACCAATGGGACTCATCCATTTGCATTAGGTCCATGTGGCTGGGCCAGAATTCCAGAGCCTTAAATACTACATTCAAAACATTTTATGGTGAACTCAGGAAATTAGAACCATCTTAACTTGACCACTAGCTCATGATGTTCACAATTTGTTATAGGGAAACCCAAGAGTCTAAGTCAGTACTGTACAATAGAACTTTCTGCAGTATTCTCTACCTGCAATGTCCAGTTAGAGCACCTGCTGGCCACATGTCTCACTGAGCACTCATAGTCAGTATGAGTGAGGAACTACATTTTACGTCTTACTTTTAACTAATTAAAACTTTAAATAATCATATGTGGACAATGAAAGTGTAGATGCTAGAATAAACCCTAATTTCAGCCAGGGTTCCATATTGTCATCACTTTTTTTCTTCTTATTGCTAACTCTTTGCTTTGCCAGGGCTAACACCCAGGTTCCTGTTAGAGTGCTGTAGGGAAACAACTCCTATTCCACACAATAAGTTAAACTCTCTTGAACTAAATACCTAGACAGTGGAAGAAATGGGAGAATTAGAAAAGTATTAATGCTCTGTCCTCAGTGTAATCACTAGTGATTGATTTTATTGCTGGCTCATTAGGAATCTGCTCATTCATATGGGTGCAAAATATCCCTCTACTGATAACTTTTTAATTGCATAAAGGAAAGTGGCACTTTGACTCTAGACAGACCTGGGGTCAGTATGCTATGCTAGCTAACTGGCCAACAGGAATATAACTAATAAATGGACAGCTTGACAACATGTGCTGCCTGAAAGGTTATGAGAACTGTCTAACCATTCTTTTACAGTACATTTTGACAAAAAAATGATCATTTGCCTCTTGTCATAATGAAACATCAGAAAAATCTCAATGATAGGACATTCTGTTAAACAACTATCCTGATTACTTAAGAACCAGTGTTATAAGAAACCATGGAAATGGAGTGGAATGAGTAAACAGACATGCCAATGAGCATAAACATTTGTTGGGTCCTATGTGTGTAAAATTCATGTTGCTTTTCACAGATGTGGTTACAGAGGAGATTGCATTTAGGAGTAGACTCGGAACACCTGACTCTGGAGTGGGAAAAAAGTGACAAATGTTAGTTAAGTGGTGAGTGCAAGTTAGTAAGTTAGTGCCTGTGTATTCACTGTTTCATTCTTTCCTTTGGGGGAAAAGTTTCAAATGTCACAGTTAAGTTTACTTAATGCCACCTTTGGTAAAGATGTTTCAAAAACACACCAGCCTATTTTTCTATCTCTAATTAATTAATACTGATGATTTATAAGCTCATGTAAAGATTCATAACATAAGATACTAGACTTGGTAAGCACAGGCAATGGCAAACTAAAGATTCTCATAATTATATAAAATTTTCTTCTTGATAATTTCAGAAATGTTCAGAAATTCTCTTTCTCCTAAAAGTAATTGATATGGAGAAAGTCTCAAGTTGACTCAGATGCGGTTAATGAAGTGCTAAGCAATGCAGCCATGTTCAGATCTGGTTGTATCACTCCCTGGAGACTTGAAGTTCTGCAGACAAGCATGGAGACTATGGAGACTGCCTGGCTCTCACATTCTGACTCATGGGGTCTCATGGAGGTACCAACTACTGATGCAAGTGCTTAGTAGGAGAATTCAAGAAGGGAAGTAAATACCTGCTTTCCAGCTTACCATGGCTTATAAATGACCCCTCAGAAGACAGACCAGGGATATAGACATGAAAGTTATTCTGTAAATTTTTTCCCATTTGAGAATGTTCACTTCTGTGATTTAATAATTACCTTTCTGGCATCTAGATGGGGCCTTGGACCAATTCCCAAGGATGACACACAGTATGCTGGGATTCCTATAAAGGGCACCACCCTTGGGTCACGGCCCAGAATCATACTGGTCGGTGTGAACAAGAGTAAAGCAAGGGGCCAGGTCATTTGGAGTGGTGCTAAGCATCGAGAAAGCCCAGACACAGGCTTCTGATTGCAGATTCTGAGCCCCATAAGATTTAACTTTCTCAAAATCCTGGGTTTGGCAACCATTTCTAATGTATTTATCTCCTGATTGTTACATCTGGGATGTTACAGAAACCTGGAGCTTTATTATGTCACATTTCAGGCACTCAGATACACCTAGATGGAGCACACTGTAACAGACATAGCAGTTTTTTCTTCCAGAGTGAACTGAATTATCCTTAGTTTCATTAAGAATGAGACAAAGGTGGAAATTCTGTACCAAATGAGAACATAATGAAGTCAAATGGATGTGTTTTTTTCAGGAATGACTAAGTACCCCAAAGTTAATAACTTTTATTCTATAACAATAATTTGTCTACTGTAGTGTATTAGTTAGCATTCTCTAGAGTCACAGAACTTATGGAATGAATCAGAGAGATTCATTCCATAAGTAGTTGTCTCTCGGCTGCAGTCCACCTAATACAACAATGGCTAGCCATGAATAGAAATAGAAAGTCCAAGTATCTAGTAGTTTCTCTGCCCCACAGGCTGTATTTATCAGCTAGTCCTCTGTATGTGCTCTAAGAAGTAGGCTCCAATGCCAGTGAAGGAATGGATGTACTAGCAAGGTAAGAGCAAGTAGTTGAAAAGCAAAAGCTTCCTTCTTCTATGTCCTTATAGAGACTTCCAGCAGAAGGTATGGCCCATATTAAAGGTATGCCTTCCTGTCTCAAGATCTGAATTAAAGGCCTGTGTTTTCCAGCCTTAAAATCCAGATCTAAGATGTGCCTTCCTGCCTCAAGATCCAGATCAAAGGTGTGTTTCTTCCTACCTTAAAGGTCCAGACTGGAAGTGGAGTCACCTACTTTAAACCAAGCAGAAAATCTCTCACAGGTGTGTCCCCCATTTCTGGTTTATAGTTCATTCCAGATATAGTCAAGCTGACAAACAAGACTAGTCATCACAATCCACCCCCTGTCAACTTGACACACAATCATCTTATGTCATGGTTAATTTCCAAATGAAAACAATAACCAGGTCATAATAACTCCTAAACAGAGTATAACTATCCCACATATAATCACAAATGCATTATATATTTAACCAGGTCATACTTGTGTCTAACATGATATGACTATCCTTTGTACAGCTGCAAATGCATTATAAATTTAGAATAGGTGGCACTGTCCCTTGAAGGACATCTTTTTAGTATCTCAAACTTAAATATGATAACAATTGATATTCTTTTTTTCTTTCCTTCTTTTTTAATGTATATATATATATATTATATTTATATAAAAAGACCAATAATAGCAGTATGTTATGCATCAATAGCAGCAACAGCTTTTCCAAGTTCTGCAGTCATTTGAACAAAATAGTAGAGACTTGATATTCTCTTAGTTGATGTTACAACATATGATAAAGAAATCAAAAGAAAACACAAATGTCTGTACAACTACATTGCTATCAAAATACAACAGAAGCACTCACATCAACTATAACCCTCATTTCTAGGATTGGTCACGTGGCCTTAGCTGGTATTTATAACTACTTCCTCTACTATTCATCCCGTATTTCCTCCACCCTCAGCCAGGCCCTCAGCAGGTCTTGGCTCTTTTCCTGAAGGAGTGACCCACACCTTCATTCCTGATGGGTCAGTGTCCTTTGTCATCCTGCCTGGATTAGGCTGTTGTAGTTTCCCATTGACTTTAATCACACGACATGGTAGCACCCTAAAGGATCTCCTGCACTCCAGACATAATCCTTCTTACCACCATTGTGGAGAACCAATCCCATTTCCCCATGGTAATCTGGATCAAGCACCCCTCCTAACAATGTTACTCCTTTCTTAGCCCATTGGCTTAAGGGCGTCAGAAACCCAAAGTGGCCAGGAGGAAGCTGGCTTCCAGTTCAATGAAATGTTTGTTATGGCTCTTGGCAGGAGTGCTACCCCTCTGGAACCAAAATCTAGGTCACAGGAACAGGAAGCAACACTTTTCCTAGTGGGTCACTAGGAGAGATAGTGAGTGAAACTATTTCCCTTTCCAGCCCTTGAATCCTGGACCCGTGGATCCTGGCTATGGGAGAAACCATACCATATACTGGACATTTATTTAAATCATACACCTCCTTCTGGAGAACCCTGCTCCTGCCCTCCAGGCTGCTGCCACCTAATTGGCACTTTAACTGTGTCTTCAAAAGGCCATTCCATCTTTCTCTCAGGCCAGCTGCTTCAGGATGGTGAGAACATGATAAGAACAGTGGATCCCATGATTGTGGGCCCACTGTCACATGTCTCTGGCTGTGAAGTGAGTTTCTTCATCAGAAGCAACACTGTGTGGAATACCATGATGGTGGATCAAGCATTCTCTAAGTCCACAGATAGTAGTTTTGGCAGAAGCACTTCCATGAATTCCATGCATGCCATTACAGCATACATCTGGGCTATATTCCAAAACCCACACCTCATTTATGGATATTGTTTCTTTCACCCTGTCTTCAGGGAGCAGAATATTTTCACAAGATCTGAGTTCAAGCTGATTTTGCACTTCACATATCTACAGATCAGACCAGGAAGAATACATATCAATTGGAGATCCAGAAAGGTAAGAAGGACACTGGAGGTTTTTACTTTGCTCCTATATCACCACCCTTAAACATAACTTCATCATACACGGTTAGATGCAAGCCAAGAAACAAACTGTATTAGTGGAAACTTCATCCTTTTTTTATAAAAAAAAATCAATGTTCTTCATGTCATCTGAACCATCGAGAGAAAGTATAGGTATACAAATATATACTTAAAAATACACAACACTGAGCCAGGCAGTGGTGGCACACTCCTTTAATCCCAGCACTTGGGAGGCAGAGGCAGGCAGATCTCTGTGAGTTCCAGACCAGCCTGGTCTACAAGAGCTAGTTCCAGGACAGGCTCAAAAACTACACAGAGAAACCAAAAAGTAAAAAAATACACAACACTGGCATTTAACTATAACCATGTGAGGTATGCTCTAGTCAAGGCTGAAATACAAAATTCTAGTTCTCTGTATCAGTTACAAGCCTTATTTACTAGATCCGAAGCAGGGTTTTCTGGGGAAAGTGTAGGTGGCTCTGAAAATGAGCTGTTCTTAACACTAAACTCAGATGTACCAAATGAAGGTATTAATTCAGGCTTTGGGGTTGAAAACACATGGCACCAAATGTGGGCGGAAAGCACATAATACCACATTGACACACCAATCAACATGGAGGAAGAACAGAAAGAATGATTAGAACTTATTTCCCTGTTGCCCATGGAGTGGGGATTGGCACATTCAGGAAGGAAAAAGCAAACAGCAGCAAGAAAACCATTCGAGTTAGAAGAGAAAAGCAAAGGCCAGTGAGTCATTTTCTTAGTAGTGTCTGTGTCACCTGAAGTACTGCCAGCGGTGCTCATTCTGGTCCTCTTCAGAGAGCTCCTCCACACCAACTCTGGGCAGCAGAAGAAGGAAATGTGAACATTACGGAACAACACAGGTACCAGGATCTCTGGCATCTGATCTGGACCATGTCCATGAAGAAAGGCTATCTCAGATTCAACAGAAATGCATAGTCCCCTTTTTTTGGTCAGTGCTGGGGCTGGAACCCAAAGTTTTGAAAACACTATGTAAGTGCCAACCATGGAGCTACATAACAGTCTTTGCCTGTCCCCATTCTCTAAAACCCAAGAGGCAGAGAGGTTGCTAAATTTAAAGCAGCAATATTAAGAGATAGATCAAATGAGGAACAATTGAAAATGATGTTAAGCTTATCAAAATATAACACAATAAAATCAGATGAACAAATGCACAGTACATAAATTAATCTACAAAATTTCAGGAATTCATCTGTTTCATAAATCAAGATGTGTCCATAAAAACAAAACAGAAAATTGTTACTAAACAATGAACATATGTTTGGAGTATGTGTATATTTTATATGTAGTTAACAGAAAAGGAAAACACCCCACCATATTACAAAAAAATACTTAGAAGACAAAGATAGCCACTTTTTTCTACATAAGCAAACCACATTGTCCACAACTTCAATCTGAAGGCCAAGAACCCAACTCTGGCTCTTCTCTTTCCTTTGAGGTCTCTGATTTGATGTGGCCTTTTGCTTTCCTTAAGGACTTCTGGATTATTCAAACAACATTGAACTTTACCATCATACTACAACATGGTTTTACAAACTCAGCACTACAGGCTTTTGAATCTAAGATAACCATCTGTTGTGGGGAGCCATTCTCCTGTGCACTGTGGGATCCTGCTTTCTACTTACAGAATGCCAAGAGATACATCTGCCCCAGGATATAACAAACAAAAAGATCTCCAGATTTTCACAGATGTCTCCCAGGTAGCAAAATTGCCCTTAGTTGAGAACACTGCACTAAATCATGTACTCTCCATGGGGTTAAAACTGGTTCTTGTGGGACATACACAAGAATAACCCACTAAAACACACACTGGGTATTTTAAGCCATCCAAAAGCATTATAAAATATAAAGAGATACAGCAGACCTCTGGTGTTAAAATTTCACTGCAGTTAACTAGAAAAATTGAAAAATACTGTGATAGGCAATGCTCAAAATTCTCATTCCACTGTATCCCTTAAAGGAAACGTGAAAAATGCAAGAGCTCATGACTCATTGTAAGATGACACTTTCAATTCGTTACATGGTCAGAAAGAGAATATGCCTTAGACCATACTGTCTAAATTACTACAGCATATTGAAAAACTAACAAATACCATAAAAACAAACCAGGATTTCATTAATGTAAGATTTATTGTTGCTTGGGTGACTGTAAAAATAATATTAATAACAGATAATATAGACAGCAAATTTATTGAGTATCATGTGTCAAACAGCATATTTAATGAATGTTTTGGGTTTTTCTGGAGGTAGTGGTGACACTGAGGATAGAAACCAGGGCTTTGCACATGCTAGGCAAACATTCTGCCACTGAGTTGCACCCTATAGCCCCTAGTGCACAAATTCTTCATCATATTTACTATACTCACATTTATCAACACACTATGTTTGTCACTGTCTAACTGGTGAGAAAACGAGAGTTAGAAGCAAAATGACTTGCCTACAGTCACAAAGATAGAAATGGTACAGGCACAATTCCAACTTAGAACTGTAGTCTCAGGAACGCACTTCTTCCTGCTAAGATACTAGTTCTAAGTATAAGGTTGCATCTTTTTAAATATCAAGTTACAAACACTATTACATGAAGAGCCCAGGGTTTCTTCTCATCTTTATTCTTTATGCTATCTTGAAGCGATGTTACCATAATTTTTCAGTCTATAGGATGAATACCAGAGTGTTCTTACTTGCCCTTGAATAATTGTATTGTTTCCCTGTGGGGTACAAAGGTTACCTGTTCATTTGGCTAGCTGGATTTGTGTCCTTCCACTACCCAGCCCTCACTACCACTTCATGTGTGTACTCCAAGAGAACAGTCATCATGCCAACATAATGTTCTTGGGATACACATGTTCACCTGTTAATATAATTTCATAACCCTCTAAGTTGCCAAAATTTTGTCCTTTGTGAATAACAGCACTTAATCAAGACTAAGAAAAACATACAACTTGTATATTAACTAAAATATTGGAACATTCCCCAAAACATTTTAAAATATTAATACCAAAACATTAACAATATAATTTGGACTTATAGACAGAAGTGACTTAGCTTTGGAATTGTAGCTGTATTCATTTTTTCTTCATAACACAGACTTGAAGTTAGTCATGGTCAAGAAATCACAGTTAGCCAGGCATGGTGGCATACACCTTTAATGCTAGCATTCTGGAGGCAGGAGGAGGAGGGAGGGGAGGGAGGGGAAGGAGGAAGAAACCACAGTTACTAACTTCTAGTTATTTACAGTAGAACTCCAAGACCTGCCTTGGATCTATTTCTGAGCAGCTACCTAACCACTCAGCAACAGTTGAAGAAATAAGGAACAAGTGAGAAAGTAAGCTCTGATCCTACTGAGTTTGCAAGGTTCAAAGCACCACAATGAGTATCAGGGGATTTCTGAGTCAGTTTAAAATAAGAACTGGGTTACAGGAATTACATGAGGCCACCAAGTAACATCATAAGCCACAAGCCAAGAGAAACCAATCACTCTCATTACCTTATTTTATACGGAACTTATTTTGATACAATTTCTGTACATGTCAATGACTATAATTAAATAATCATTACTTATTCACATCTGGAAAAATACAATGAACTGGCACCATATGTATGTTTCAACAATAGTACATGTTCCTTCACTCGGGTGTCTAGGTAGAGCTGGGCACAAACAGGAAAGATGGAAATAAAATACAGGAGCAAAAATCAGTAAAATGAAAATCAGAAAACAGTATAGTAAAATAAGTTGAATAAACAGGTAATTTTTTAATAAGCAACAAAAATGTTTACATAAAAAAATGTAGCATGGTAGCACACACCCTTAATCCCAGCACTGTAGAGACAGAGGCAAAGGTTCTTTATGAGTTCAAAGCCAGCCTGGCCTATATATAGTGAGTTCCATGAGAGCCTGGGCTATACAGTGAAACCCTATGTCAAAAAACATAAAACCTCCTAATACACCCCTACCAAGTCTGACAAAAAAGGAAAGATACACATTATCAGGAATAAAATGCAAAAAAAAACCCAATAGAACAGTAAATATCACTGCAGACCCAGAAACATCTAAAGAAGAAACAGAAAATACTATGTCTTAGTTAGGGTTACTATTGCTGTGATGAAACACCATGACCAAAGCAACCTGGGAAGCAAAGAGTTTATTTTGATCACTGTTCCATACAACAGTTCATCATCAAAAGCAGTGACAGAAACTCAAACAGGGCAGGAACCTGGAGGCAGGAGCTGATGCAGAGGCCATGGAGGTGTGCTGCTTACTGCCTTGCTCCTCAAGGCTTACTCAGCCTGCTTTTTTATAGAACCCAGGACTACCAGCCCAGGGATAGCACCACCCACAATGGGCTAGGCTCTCCCCCATTGATCAGGAATTAAGAAAATGCCTTACATCTTATGGAGAAATTCTCTCAATTGATGTTCCCTCCTCTCTGATGATGACTCTAGCTTGTGTCAAGTTAACATAAAACTAGCCAGTACACTACGGATAACATTAACTTGACAATGTAAATCAAACTGATAAATTTCACAAAGTATCACAGTTCACTCAACATAAAATATATAATCTGAATAGCCACATCAATTACATAGTTTAAAGGTTTCTGAAAAAGTAGTCTTCAGGCCTAGATGGTTCCACTGAAGAATTCTACCAAAAAGGAAAAGAAAATAACAGCAAGTATAAAAAATTGTAGAGAACACACACTAATTCATAATGTGAGGCCACACTCCCTGATTCGCAAACCTGACAAGTGCATGCAAACTAGAGAACTACAGACTATAACCCTGTGAACAAAGGAAAATCCATAAACAAGCATTTGCTCATAGACTTAAGCAGTATTAAAACTATACTATAATCAAGTAGGGTTTATTTCAGAAAGGCTAGACTGGTTCAGTATTTGGAATTACCAGAGTAAAGAGCTAAACAAGAAAAACCAAATGATCACACCAACTGATGCAGAAAATGCATTTGTTAAAACCCATGGCCATCCAAGACAAAAACTCTGAGAAAATAAATGTGAGGACCAGCAAGATGGCTCAATGGGTAAAGGCACTTCTTGCCAAGCCTGATGACCCAAGTCCCATCCCCAAGACACACGTGGTAGAAGAAAAGAACTGACTCTCAAAAAAGCTGTCACCTGTCCTATACATGTGTGCAATGTTATGTGTGCCCTGCCCACAAATAAATACAATGTAATTTAAAAAGAAATTAAACTGAACATGAGATATAAATTTACTCAATCCTTATAAGCTATTATGACACCCAATGACAATATGTCCCTCTTAATGTTGGGAGCTGGGTGAAGATGTCCATTAACACTACTTTTATTAAACATAGGACTAAAAGCCAGGCCAGAGCAATAACACATGAAAAGAAAGGCAAAGGCACATTGGTTGGTTGAAAAGTACAAAATAAAATGATTTCACTTTGCATATTATGTAGATAAGCCAGAAAATTTTATTTATGTAGAAAACCCCAAAGACTATAAAAAAAACACCTCCTAGAACTAAAAATGGAATTCAGCACAGTGACAGGATATAAATCTAATAAAACTTCCACAGCATTTATATGCTAAGAAAGACAAAATACTAATACAAAAACCAAAGAAGGTCAAAATAAATGGGGAAACAGATTACATCCATGAATTGGAAGACACAATATGATGAAGATGTTCATCTCCCAGTTGATAATATATAAAATACTATTCCTGTGAAAAGCATAGAAGATTGTTTACTTTTATTCATTTTTTTAGACAGAGTCTCTTTATATCTCCTAGGCTAGCCTTGAACTCCTCTTAGCCTC